GCTGGCCTCGAACTCACAGAGATTGCCTGCCTCTGCCTCCCAAGTGCTGAGATTAAAGACGTTCTCTAGCACTGTACTGCACTGCTTGGCACTGTACTGCTTGGGTTTTTTTTTTTTATTTTACCTATAGCCATAGGAGAGGAGTTTGTAACATGTTCTCTTATATTTCTAATTCTAATATCTTCTGAAAGTTTGTTCAAAAATGATGCAGAAAATGTTGAGCTTTCTTTATATTTTGCTAAAAGCCAGAAGTATTCTCTCTTATGTACTAAAAAACAATGCTTATTGTCAGTTAAAGGCATTGTATTCTCATTTGGATTGGTGTAAGCCAAAAGTGAGAAAGCCTTTCTTATGACTTCTTGGAGAAGTACCCTTTCAGATCCTGACTCTACCCAGGAATAATGAGACTGGCAGTTAATTAGTTGCTCAGGGCATTCAGTGGCTTACTCTCTACTAGTGTAGACACTGTTAAGAATGGGAAGGAATGTGGCACTTTAAACAGCTGTCATCCTGATCTCTTGAAGTCTGTAGTCAGATATAGGATAGGTAAACATGTAATCAAATGATTATGTTGATGGATGTATAGGCATAAACAGGAGCTCTTGGCCTGGTTGTATTAGAATTTGCCTCTGATAATAGATTCAAGGCAAAGGTTTTCCATTTTTCTTTTCTAGTACTATTTCTACTTCTGTCTTAACTGTAGATAAATCTAACAGACAATTCTATTAGTTTTTAAAAATCTTTTATCATGAAAGAAAATCATTACAGCCTTTATGGTTCTACATATAACAACATGTAGATCTTATTAATATGAAAGATGAATTTTCTTTATCTCTATTAGGGACTATCTTTGTAGTAACTGATTAGATTTAATTGAGTACTTACACAAAAAGTAATGCCAAGGAACATATTTTTTTATTCCTTTTCATCTTAAAATTTTTTCATATAATGTATTTTGATCATGTTTTTCCCTTTCATCAACTCCAAGAGTCTTCCTACTCATCCAGTTTTCTGTGTGTGTTATGCTCCTCCCAATAATCTACCCCCCCCCCAATAAGACAAAAGTACCCAAACAAAAAGGCCATAAAAGATCATGGAGTTTGTTTTGTGTTGGCCAATTACTCCTGGGTATGTGGCTTACCCTGGAATGTGTTTGATATATCCAGTCATGTTCCATTGTAGAAAACTGATTTTCCCATTCCTTGCAGGTATTGACTATTCTGTTAGAGCTGGTATGTTGTGTCCATTTCCCCCCCTCAGTACTGGAACCCCATATGGCTTGAACCTTGCAAATTGTGTGTGCTGCTGCAGTCTCTGTGAGTCATATGAACATCGATCCTGTTAAGTCTAGAAGACACTGTTTCCTTGGATCCATCTATGGTCTTTGGCTCTTAGTGTCTTTCTGCTTTCTCTCTTGCTTAGATCCCTCAACCTTCAGGGGAGGGGTTTGATGAAGACAGTCATTTAGGACTGAGTACTACAAAGTCTCTCATTCTCTGTACATTGTCCAGTTGATGGATCTCTTTGTTAGTTGCCATCTACTGCAAGAAGCTTCTCTGATGAGTTGAGCCAGGCACTGATCTATGGCCTAGTAATATGTCAGTAGGAGTGATTTTTATTGCTATATCCCTTTAGCAGAGTAATAGTAGTGGAGTTTCTCCTAGGCCCATGACCAATGTAGTTTCAGGTTCTTGACCACTTTAACAGTGTTAGATGTGGTTTGTGCCACTGTTTTACCAGTATACCTTGCAGGCATGTGCTGTTGTAGGTCACAGGGTTCATAGCTGGGTGAGATTGACAATAAAAACTGGGAAAATCAGTTTTCTACTCTTCTGGTAGTATGCAGAGTACCTTCCAGCTCCATAAACACTGGTCAATAGGAGTAAAGCTTCTAGTTGGGTACCAGCTTAGTTTCTCCATTGTTGATAATACAAGTCTTGTCTTTAACAACAGGGACTCACTGTCAGGTTGTAGAGAGCAACCAACAGCCTTGATAATTGCCTGTGGTATTTCAGGGAGGAAGTGTTCCTGGAACCTCTTTGGCTGACAATAAGATGTAACTCATTCCTGACACTGGAGATTTTGCTTGTTGGTATAAGATGTCTAGTTGGGGCATTGTCTTTTTCCTATATGGTAACTCCATTTAAATTCTTTTCATACATGTATATGTTTTAAGAAACTTCCATAATAGGAGATTTCTATATGGCTTTTCAAATGGCCTTTAGTATTAGTTTTTTCTCCTCATATTTCCCACTTTACGCTGTCTTCTTATCTTCCATGATATTTAATCCTCCTATTATAGTTTTCCCTTTATCTCTCCATAACACTATATTCTATTTTCTCTTCCTTGTGAGATCCTGTCCTCCTCACTGGTCCCTTACTAGTTCCTAACATCTGTAGTTATTTGGGTTTAACACACATAACAAAAACTTAAAAGCTAACATCCACATATTAGAGAAAATACACGGTATTTGCTCTTTGTGGCCCAGGTTACATCACTCAGGGTGATTTTTCCAGCTTCATCCATTTACCTGCAAGTTCCATAGTCTTATTAAACAGTTGAATGATATTCCATTGTGTAAATGTACCACAGTTTTCATTTTCTATTTATCAGTAGGTGAACATCTAGGCTGTTTCCAATTTCTGGCTATAAAAAATAACTCTTAAGTTATATTAAGAGTAGTTAAGTTTTTCTCAAATAAAAGGTAAGTATAATGTCAATAATGAAAATAGAAAGTGTGTTACAGTTGTTCAAAATTTGAATTTTGTGATTGTTTTTCTTTATAGACATCCCACTTCTTCCATCTATTACATCTTTAAGTTTAAGTGAAAATGAAGAGAAGTGTGGACCTTTTGTGGTACACTGGTTAAACAATAAAGAGCTGCATTTTACATTGTCCATGGAAGTCTTCTTACAACAACTTAGAAAAAGTTTTGAACAGCCCTCATCTGAGGCCAGCGTAGAAGACTCTATTCAGGCAGATATAAAGTCTGATGAAGGTAAAGATTTAAGAAGGATGAAATTTTAAATTTGCAGCCATAAATAAATAGTTTTTATATGAGGATAAAATTGTGTATTGTCAGAGATAATCTCCAAGTTTGTTATGGCATAATGTAAATATGGATTGGCTCATTTAATAATTTGGTGTAGGTGCTTTTAATTATGTGTCTTTTATCAGAGTTTTCTGTTCTTTTGTATTTGTTAGCCCGTAACCCTGTTGCTTTATGAACTATATATGGATTAATGTCATCAAATATATAGTCTCATATGCTACACAACTACTCACCTGAATCTGCAATTTAATAAATAGTTGATCTACATGTACATTAGAGTTGAGAAACACTATGTAGGAAGATGGCAGCTATGCTTAACATTGTACCACCAACACCAAACTGCATTGTATATAAAGTCTTAGACTTCTCTGTATTTATCCTGCGGTTGGATATGGAGAAGGAAGAGAGGACAGCAAGAATATACAACTGTCTCTCTACCTTGGCTTAGAGTTGACACATACTACTTCCACTCTGATTGCATTAGCAAGAAACAACCACAGAGTCCCAAGTGGCTTCATTTTCTAACTGATTTGTAAATCTTTGCTTAATTTTCATTTAAATCTGGTAAAAAATGTTTTAATTGCCTCTTTAAAAACATACCTCATATTCCCGATCCAGGAGTTGAGGAAAGGGCATAGAGTCTGGGCTTTTTGAAAGAAGTAAAGATATAAATGTTTGTGTATGTTAATAGTCCTGGTTGCTGTCTGATTACTAAGTTAACTTCATGACTTTATTTCTTGTTAATACAAAAATTATGGTTTTTCACTTTAAATTCATTTAAAAAGCTCTGTCTTAATTTGTAGTGATAGCTTTATTGTATTCACTTGGTTCATGAACTTTTTTGTTTATAGAAATGGATGATGGTATTGATGATTTAAAAATAAATCATGAAAAGAAGGAATTGGGTGAAGATAAAATGTTATCAAACTCAAATTTTACACCATTATCATCAGCTGCCATTGACCATCAGATTGAAGTGCTTCTGTCTGAATGGAGTAAAAATGCAGACATGCTTTTCAGTATTCATCCCATGGATGGTTCTTTACTAGTTTGGCATGTAGATTGGCTGGATGAATACCAGCCTGGTATGTTTCGTCAAGTACAGGTACTGTTAATCATCTATGATGAGTTACTTCTTTTTTATGTGAAAATTTTTTTGTAATATGTTTTTATGTAATTATATGCTCTAATGTCTACTTTCTTAATTCTAGGTGTCCTTTGTTTCCAGAATTCCTGTAGCTTTCCCCACAGGCGATGCAAACTCTCTCTGTAAAAGCATAGTTATGTACGCCTGTACCAAGAATGTTGACTTGGCTATTCAACAAGGAAAACAAAAACCTACTGGCCTCACTCGTTCCACATCAATGCTTATCTCCTCTGGTCACAGTAAATCATCGAACAATTTAAAATTAAGTATTTTTACTCCTAATGTTATGATGATTTCAAAGCATGCTGATGGTTCTTTGAATCAGTGGCTGGTTAGTTTTGCTGAGGAATCTGCTTTTTCTACAGTTCTTAGTATTTCTCACAAATCCAGATACTGTGGTCATCGTTTTCATCTTAATGATTTAGCTTGCCACTCAGTATTACCATTGCTGTTGACAACTTCACACCATAATGCATTAAGAACACCAAATGTGGGTAACCAAAAGCAACCTCATGACACTGTAAATACTGAAGAATGTTCCTTGACACAGCAAAATACAAACAATGTTGATACGGCATTTCAAGATCCCAATGCCATTTATAGTGAACTTATTCTTTGGAGGGTTGATCCAGTTGGGCCATTATCTTTTTCTGGAGGAGTGTCTGAGCTAGCCCGGATTAATTCTCTTCATGTCTCTGCCTTTTCCAATGTGGCATGGCTCCCTACTCTTATACCCAGTTACTGTCTAGGTAAGCATACTTTGATTTTATTTCAGTAATTTTATTTTCAGACACTTGCTAATAGGTTAAATTTTAAATGTTTATAAATACTTTCTAGGTGCATACTGCAACTCTCCTAGTGCATGCTTTGTAGCTAGTGATGGACAATATCTGAGGTTATATGAAGCAGTTATTGATGCCAAGAAACTTTTATATGAGCTTTCCAACCCTGAAATTTCTGTAAGTACTAGCTTTATGATGTTTTTAGATATTTAACCTATACTTACTTGGCCTGTTCTAAAATTGTGACCTACAATTTATGACAGATAAGTGTATTTTTTACTATATATTTTTCACATTAGTTTTGTACTTGTGATTTTAAGGTAAGCCCTTTCATTATTTTTAGGTTGGGTGTGTAGCTCAGTGGTTGAGCATATATGTAAACGCGCTGTGGTCCATGAGTTCAACTCCAAGACCCTCTCTCTGACAGAAGAAAAAAAAAAAGTCTAGTTATGTGTTTCTTTTCCTTAGAGATAAATGGGGAACTACCTGTTGTAGAAGTTGTTGGTTCCTGTATAGTTAAAGGGAGCTAGAATATTAAGAGTAGGATTTTAATCTTAAACATGAAAAGAAAAAGCCTTCAGCTTGGTTGCAGCTGAGGCAAGTTTTTGGATGCCCATGTAACACAGTTACTATGGAAGAGACCCCACTTCTTCCTAAGCCTGAGTAGTGGAAGCCTACTGGCTCTGTTTATTGAGCACCTCCACTGAGAAAGCATTTCTGCAGTTTTCAGTTCTAGTGTTTAGTCAGGGTTTTTTTTTTTTTGTTTTTGGTTTTTTTTTTTTTTTTTTTTTTTGTTTTTTTTAAAAAAAAAAAAAAAAAAAACTTTTTTTTTTTTTTTTTAGACACATAGTTCTTTTGCTTCAGACTCCTGTGTGTGCCAATTTGCCAGCATGTCAGGCTTGTTTGGTGGCTTTAAAGATCTTTTGTGGCAGCCTTCAGGCTGTGTTCAAGCTTCCTGCTTAGGAGATTCTAGTCTAAGTTACTAACAGTTACTAGTTGTTTTAATGTTCAGTCTCTAAAATAGTAGAGTCCTTGGTTTATTCTAGTCTGTTTGATGATAAGTTCTTAATTTTAGAGTATAATTTTATAGAACACAATATTTTGCCAAGTATGTATATCTGTGTGTATACATATATATTGCTTTAGTAGAACGAGACATTTATTGAGGACAATTATTTATAGGTGCTGTTTTAACAGCTGCGAATTTGGTATAAAAATTAAATTGATACCACAAAACTCATTCCAGTGAAGCAAGATAACTCTGGCTGAACCAAATAAAAATCCCTTGATTAACAAGTACTGTGGAGAGAAACAGTGTTGCCAAAGAAGTAGGGAGAGCACCTTAAGTTGCTGTCTATGGTAAAGCTTTATAGAAAAGAAGTGAAGGAGTGGAGTGAGCTAGACATGTGGCTACAGGAAGACTGATCCACAAAGAAGGTTGACCTCTTCATGGACCTTGCAGCCAAAACATGTTGGTTATGCAATAGGACCCTTGGGAGATCATTGTGGAGTAAAATAAGGTAGACTATTCAGGAATTAAAGCAGCAAGGTTGCCTACTCAGATCCTAGGAGGCCTTATAGTTCATTTCAATAACTTGGACTTCTGCCTAAAATGACATAGAAACTGTAGCAAGTCTTTCTCTGTCCCATTAGCCTGCTTCCAAATAACCACACAGACACTTCTCATTACTTAATGAAGGCTCAGCATCAATAGCTTTAGGCTTGTTTCTAACTAGCACTTATAACTTAAATTAACCCATATTTTTGTAAGTTTTTATTTAAATTAAAAACAATCTTATTTTACATACCAATCCTAGTTCCCTCTCCTTCCCATTCTCCCATGCCCTTCACCAACCTCCCATCCCACCCCCCCATCCACTCCTCAGGGAGGGCGAGGCTTTCCATGGGGTATCATCAAAGCCTGTCACATTATTTGGTGCAAGGACTAGGCCTTCCACCGTGTGTCTAGGCTGAGAGCGTATCCCTCCATGTGGAGTGGGCTCCCAAAGTCCATTCATACTCTAGGGATAAATACTAGTTCCAACACCAGAGGCCCCATAGACTGCCCAGGCTTCCCAACTGACACCCATATTCAGGGGGCCTGGTTTGGTCCCATGTTGGTTCCCCAGCTCTCAGACTGGGGTTCATGAGCTCCCACTTGATCAGGTCAGCTGTTTCTGTGGATTTCTCCAGCCTGGTCTTGACCCCTTTGCTCATCACTCCTCCCTCTTTACAACTGGATTCCAGGAGTTGGCCTCAGTGCTTAGCTGTGGATCTCTGCTTCTGCTTCCATCAGCTACTGGATGAAGGCTCTAGGATGGCATTTAAGGGAGTCATTAATCTCATTATAGGGGAAGGGCATTTAAGGTAGCTTCTCCACTATTTCTTAGATTCTTAGTTGGGGTCGTCCTTGTAGATTCCTAGAGATTTCCCTAGTGCCAGGTTTTTCATTAAGCCCTTAATCACTCTGGTTCCCTCTATTAAAGTATCCCTTTCCTTGTTGTTCTTCTCAATTCTTCCCTCCCTCATGTCCCTG